AACATTTCCTGTGTTTTTGAGACATTCAACTGGAGAAAATTGTCAGCGCAGCAATTGTTAAAACTTGTAACTAAGTTGCAGTATAAGCCTTCTCCCATAGATAGTAAGCCAACGAAAACTTTATGATCATGATTATTTATGGAACACAAATAATTTATGACCAATTTGCAAAGTGAACGTACTGGCGATTACATTGATTTGATTCTTTGTTTTGCGTATACGTCACTAGTTCATGCTTTTTATTCTTAAGTCATGCACATATCAGCTGCATGTTTAAGGTGACCTCATTGCTTACCAAATATCGTCTGTATTCTGTAGTATGTCTTCATTGTTTAATAAATATCGTCTGTATTCTGTAGTATGTCTTCATTGCTTACCAAATATCGTCTGTATTCTGTAGTATGTCTTCATTGCTTACCAAATATCGTCTGTATTCTGTAGTATGTCTTCATTGCTTAACAAATATCGTCTGTATTCTGTAGTATGTCCTCATTGCTTACCAAATATCGTCTGTATTCTGTAGTATGTCTTCATTGCTTAACAAATATCGTCTGTATTCTGTAGTATGTCTTCATTGCTTACCAAATATCGTCTGTATTCTGTAGTATGTCTTCATTGCTTAACAAATATCGTCTGTATTCTGTAGTATGTCTTCATTGCTTAACAAATATCGTCTGTATTCTGTAGTATGTCTTCATTGCTTAACAAACAAATATCGTCTGTATTCTGTAGTATGTCTTCATTGCTTAACAAATATCGTCTGTATTCTGTAGTATGTCTTCATTGCTTAACAAATATCGTCTGTATTCTGTAGTATGTCTTCATTGCTTAACAAATATCGTCTGTATTCTGTAGTATGTCTTCATTGCTTAACAAATATCGTCTGTATTCTGTAGTATGTCTTCATTGCTTAACAAAGAGCATCTGAATATTTAAGTTGACCTCATTGCTAAAAATAATCTTAAACACTTTTTCTTTACAGCATCATCGGATAAGTTCCTTCCCATAACATCCCAGCTGTGACGTCTATCTGGTACAGTTATCTTTCCATCGCACAAATATCTGCCATTCATCCAGTAAGCAGACAAAATGCTCAATAGGCAGAAAACGCTGTCCACCATATTTTACACAGTCGATGCTAAAAACAGACTGAAGAACAGCTCGTTCCTTGGCAAAGAGTCACTAGGTGTGGACAGATATTCCAGCACGTCAAACACCGCTAAAAAATTATCACAGCTCACGAGAAAGACCTTCGACTCTTTCTCTTGGCGCGCCAAGGGTGGGTCTTCAGAAAAGCTTAAGAAAGGACCCAGAAAACCCAAATTTAACGATGAAGTGGGAAAACCAGACAGTAAGGGTAACGCCTAGTATCGTCTGTCTATTATAGTCTGTCAAGTATCGTCTATCTTCCATCGTATGTCTAATATTGTTTGTCTAGTAACATCTGTCGAGTATAACCTGTCTAGCATTGTTTGTCTAGTAACATCTGTGTAGTAAAATCTGTCTAGTATTGTATGTCTAGAAAAAATCTGTCTAGTATCGCTTGTCTAGTAAAATCTGTCTAGTATCGTTTGTCTAGTAAAATCTGTCTAGTATCGTTTGTCTAGTAAAATCTGTCTAGTATTGTTTGTCTAGTAAAATCTGTCTAGTATTGTTTGTCTAGTAAAATCTGTCTAGTATTGTTTGTCTAGTAAAATCTGTCTAGTATTGTTTGTCTAGTAAAATCTGTCTAGTATTGTTTGTCTAGTCAAAATCTGCCTAGTATCATCTGCCTAGTATCACCCGTCTAGTATTTTGTGTCTAGTATTGTATGACCAGTATCGTCTGTCTAGTATCGTCTGTCTAGTATTGTATAACTTGTAAGTCTCTCTAGCATCGTCCGTAAGGTATCTTCTAATATTCCTTGTCGATTATGTTGATTTTACATAAAGATCATCGCTGTATAATCAGTTTGTGTTGCCATTGAAGTAATTTAAAACATTCCGCTTTATTTTTATTTATTCATTAATTAAAGATTAATCCTAAGAATTTACCTAAAAAGTTGTCCTTTTAAATATGCTTCGGGTTTTCCTAAATAACTCTAAATGTAATAAAGCAATTTTGTGTTTATGTTCTATTTTATTCTGACCAAGCTATCATACGTAAGACAGTTTTTTACTTATACTGCAAGTACATCTGTGTAGTACATTATATTGAAAATCCGGTCTAACATTTGTAAATAGACTGATGTATGTCTGATATAGTCTGCTGGGTAAAGTATGGTCGATGAATGAGCTAATTCTTTGCTAGCTACCAGACAACCACCAGGCACCTGACAGCTACCAGCCCGCTTCCAGCCAGTTGCCAGACATCTATCATCCAGCTCCCAGACAGTTACCAGACACAAGACAGCAACCACCCAGCTACCAGACTCAAGACAGCTACCACCCAGCAACAGACAACAACATACAGCTACATATTAGCACACATACTGCTAATAGACATCGTTCTAAAAAAGATCTTCTAGTATATGAATCAGACAGTAGTTTATTAGTGACATCATTATAGCTGACTAGGTGTCAAAGAAGTCATTAACGCGTTTGACCTAGCTATTCTAATAAGTGTCGACATTTGACCTAAATTTTCTAATAAGTGTCTGCATTTGATCTAAATGTTATATGTGTCTGAATTTGATCTACATGTTATAAGTGTCTACATTTGACCTAACTATTCTAATAAGTGTCTACATTTGACCTAAATATTCTATTTAGTGTCTACATTTGACATAACTTTTCTAATAAGTGTCTACATTTGACCAAACTATTCTAATTCTACTCTACATTTGACCTAACTATTGAAATAACTGTCTACACTTTGTTTCTGAGGGAAAGCTTTTCAGAAAGACAAGGACGTTCTGTTGTTCGATCAACTGGACGAATCCAATAAAATTTTAATATCAAGACCCACAAGTAAGTCAAAGTACATAAATAATTTAAATTACACACAAAAGTCAAAATACACAAATATGTCAAAGTACACATATAAGTCAAAGTACATAAGAAGTCAAACTACAAAAGTAAGTCCAAGTACACAAGTTCATCAATTACACAAGAAGCCAAGCACACAAGTAAGTCAAAGTACACAAGTTCATCAATTACACAAGAAGCCAAGCACACAAGTAAGTCAAAGTACACAAGTTCATCAATTACACAAGAAGCCAAGCACACAAGTAAGTCAAAGTACACAAGTTCATCAATTACACAAGAAGCCAAGCACACAAGTAAGTCCAAGTACACAAGTTCATCAATTACACAAGAAGCCAAGCACACAAGTAAGTCAAAGTACACAAGTTCATCAAAGTACACAAGTTAGTCAAAGTACACAAGTAAGTCAAAGTACACAAGTTAGTCAAAGTACACAAGTAAGTCAAAGTACACAAGTAAGTCAAAGTACACAAGTTAGTCAAAGTACACAAGTAAGTCAAAGTACACAAGTTAGTCAAAGTACACAAGTAAGTCAAAGTACACAAGTTCATCAATTACACAAGAAGCCAATCACACAAGTAAGTCAAAGTACACAAGTTAGTAAAAAACACAAGTAAGTCAAAGTACACAAGTTAGTCAAAGTACACAAGTAAGTCAAAGTACACAAGTTAGTCAAAGTACACAAGTTCATCAATTACACAAGAAGCCAAGCACACAAGTAAGTCAAAGTACACAAGTTAGTCAAAGTACACAAGTTAGTCAAAGTACACAAGTAAGTCAAAGTACACAAGTTAGTCAAAGTACACAAGTTAGTCAAAGTACACAAGTAAGTCAAAGTACACAAGTAAGTCAAAGTACACAAGTTAGTCAAAGTACACAAGTTAGTCAAAGTACACAAGTAAGTCAAAGTACACAAGTTAGTCAAAGTACACAAGTAAGTCAAAGTACACAAGTAAGTCAAAGTACACAAGTTAGTCAAAGTACACAAGTAAGTCAAAGTACACAAGTTCATCAATTACACAAGAAGCCAATCACACAAGTAAGTCAAAGTACACAAGTTAGTCAAAGTACACAAGTAAGTCAAAGTACACAAGTTAGTCAAAGTACACAAGTAAGTCAAAGTACACAAGTTAGTCAAAGTACACAAGTTAGTCAAAGTACACAAGTAATTATTTAAAGAACACAAGTAAGTAAAAAAAATGCCTATCGATTAAACACTAGGGCCAAGTTCATAAGGATATCCAGACAATTTGATAGGGAGACACAACCTAGTTTAAATAACAAAGAGAAAATCTAACAAGAAATATGTCAGATTAAATGTCAGTTGCACAATTCAAGAATAGATAGTGCATAAACCATACTAGGATAGATAGTTCATAAACCATCCTAGGATAGATAGTTCATAAACCATACTTGGATAGATAGTTCATAATCTATCCGCTGATAGATAGTTCATAAACCATCCTAGGATAGATAGTTCATAAACCATACTTGGATAGATAGTTCATAATCTATCCGCTGATAGATAGTTCATAAACCATCATAGAATAGTTAGTTCATACCTCATCCTAGAAAAGATAGTTCATAAACAATCATAGAATAGATAGTTCATAAACAATCATAGAATAGATAGTTCATAAACAATCCTAGAATAGATAGTTCATAAACAATCCTAGAAAAGATAGTTCATAAACCATCCTAGAATAGATAGTTCATAAACAATTTCAGAATCTATTATCATCTACTACAGTTCATTAAAATCTATTAAAATCTACTCTAATCTACGCCAGTCTAATATAAACTGCTATAATGTTAAATTGTCTGCAATAATTTGTTTAAACTTAATAATCTATTATAATCTATAATAATCTACTGTAATCCACTACAACCTTTCATAATCTACTACAATCAACTATTATTCACAATAATCTACTATAATCTAATGCAATCTGCCATAATGCACAATAATCTAGTTTAATCTACTTCAATCTATTATAACATACTATACTATAATCTTTTCATGGTTTCAATCCAGCTGTCTTTGATTTGAACGAGGCAATGACAACTTTGAAAAATGTGAGCATTCTTTTCTCACTGTGAAACAAATAAGTGTTTTCTCTGTTGGGGTTAATTGTGTCTCTGTTCACATGAAATATACTTTTGTCGGTATTCACATGTTGTTTATTCAGTATCTCAGGTCACGTTGTGCTTAGTGATTTCCTGTTGACATGTTGTTAAGTTGCGTCTCTGATGACATGGTGTTTAGCGGTGTCTCTGCCTACATGGTGTTTAGTGGTGTTTGCCTACATGTTGCTTAGTGGTGTCTCCCTAGATGGTGTTTAGTCATGTCTCAGTTCACGTGGTGTTAAGTGATGTCTCTGCCTACATGGTGCTTAGTGGTGTCTGCCTAAATGGTGTCTAGTCATACATCAGTTCACTTGGTATTAAGTGGTGTCTCGGCTTAAATGGTGTTTAGTGGTGTCTGTTCACATATCTAAATAATAATTTATAGTCAATATTTTGCTTTGAACTAATGATACCAATATGATTTCTTGTCTACAGCTTGAGTCAGAACAAATCATACTTGAGCAAAATCTGACCCATCAACGGAAACACAACCTGATTAGACGCCATGCCCTGGACACCAAGAGAATGATATATTTAAGTAACATCGTTAGGTGAGTTCAATAGTCTCATCAAGGTCAGTCCAGGAATCACATTTCATGAGTGATACTGAAGCTAACACATTTAAGTTGACGTAAAATATTGTAAGAGACCTTGCTTACTATCTGACAAACTTCATCTAGATCTGGTACTCAATAATTTAAACAACTCCGGTGATACATTTGATCATTCAACTCGTGTTCTTTATTTGATCTGTCACTTGCTTACACTTTCACTCATCTCCCAACTCTGACTTCTCCCTGCTATCTAGTTCACATCCGGCCGCCTTCTCTTAACCATCCGGCCGCGCTCTCCATCGTCCCGTCCAGAGGTCCCTATTTATAGGTCCCTGGGTCTGTACTTGCGCCGCCCCTTTTCTCAATTGTCGCCATGGTCTAGACGTCCCAGGTAAATGCCCTGGTCAGATGGATGGTCGTGTCTGGGTGTCAGACGGCCGTAATTGGTCAGGCGTTTGATCCTTGGGTCCGTCGTGCTCCACAAGCTTGATCCTTCGGTCAGACGGATTACGTCAGGCGCCGTCGTGGTCCGGCGCTCGTGCGTGGTCCGACTCTCCACAAGCTTGGGTGGTCAGACGGATTACGTCAGGCGCCGTCGTGGTCCGACCTCTCCACACTATCTACATCTATTAAGGTTTAGGTTTAGCGTTAGGGTTAGCGCTAGGGTTAGGGTTAGCATTAGGGTTATCGTTAGGGTAAGGTTTATGGTTAGCGTTTAAGGTTAGTGTTAGTGTTAACGTTTAGGGTTAGCGTTAGGGTTAGTGTTAGGGTTAGGGTTGCCCAACCCTACACTTAACCTGTACCATTCCTACATTTAATTAATCTGAAACGTGTAAGTCAAAAACCAAAATAAAAAAATGAAAACGTAAAGAGTTATGTTGTTCGTCTGTCGAGGATTGACGATGATCATCAAGTCGTCCGGTGACTCATGACTTGCACTAATGACTTTTGTTTAAAGTGAGGAAGACTTGCGCGGCGTCAACTTCATTCTCTCGCCCGGGCCCTCCATATCCAGTGGCAAGACTCTACGTCAAGACAACCAGGGATGGGTACGGCTGCAGGATTTGTCATTGTATGCACCTTAAGGGACTTGAAATCCATGTTTGAATTCAGAGTTTCCTTCTCTTAGATGAGTTGCCGACAAAGGTTAACGAGTCTCATCCACCCGGGAGTAAAGAGATATATAGAAAGACAAACAGAGAGGAAGAAAGAGTTAGAGAAAGAGACACTTTGGCCATAGGGGCTCGTTTCTTTAAGAATAATATACAAATGTTTGATACAATCTCTCATTTCTATTATATGGGGAAAAATGACACACTTACAATAGAATATCGTTCAACAAGGTCATTCCATGTCCTCTTGGGAAATATATCTCGACACTCGGCCTGTAAAGAAGTTTTGTTCATCGGACACATCTCTTCACAGATTTTAATCCTCTTGGGAAATATATCTCGACACTCAGCCTGTAAAGAAGTTTTGTTCATCGGACACATCTCTTCACAGATTTTAATCTGAACCGGACACATCTTAACCGGACACATCTTAACCGGACACATTTCTTCACAGATTTGAATCTTAAAAGGACACATCTTAACCGGGCACATCTTTTCACAGATTTTAATCTTAACCGGACACATCTTAACCGGACACATCTTTACCGGACACATCTTAACCGGACACATCTTAACCGGACACATCTTAACCGGACACATCTTAACAGGACACATCTTAACCGGACACATCTTAACCGGACAAATCTTAACCGGACACATCTTAACCGGACACATCTTAACCGGACACATTTCTTCACAGATTTTAATCTTAAAAGGACACATCTTAACTGGGCACATCTTTTCACATATTTTAATCTTAACCTGATACATCTTAACCGGACACATTTCTTCACATATTTTAATATTATCGGACACATCTTAACCGGAAAGATATTAACCGGATACATACTTCACATATTTAAATCTTAACCGGACATATCTTAACCGTACACATTTTAACCAGACAGATCTTAACCAGACACATCTTAACCGGAAATATCTTAACCGGACACACCTTATTCGGACACATGTCTTTACAGATTTGAATCTTTCGTCCAGGAGCTCACAAGAAGGTTTCAGAAAGCCAAAGATCAAACCACACGAGTTCGTCTTGAGATGTTCTCTTTGCAGTTACAGAAGAAAGAAATGGAGGCAGAGTCACACAGCATGAAATTGGTGAGCCAGTCATAACTTTATCTGTAAGAAGTGAGTCAGTCATAACTTGATATGTAAGAAGTGATCCAATCATAACTTGATCTGTAAGAAGTGAGCCAGTCATAACTTGATCTGTAAGAAGTGAGCCAGTCATAACTTGATCTGTAAGAAGTGAGGCAGTCATAGTTTTATCTGTGAGAACCGAGTCAGTCGAACTTTATCTGTAAAAAGTCAGCCAGTCATAACTTTATCTGTAAGAAGTGAGCCAGTCATAACTTTATCTGTAAGAAGTGAGCCAGTTATAACTTTATCTGTAAGAAGTTAGCGAGTCATAACTTTATCTGTAAGAAATGGGTCAGTCGAACTTTATCTGTAAGAAATGAGTCAGCCAAACTTTATCTGTAAGAAGTGAGTCAGTTATAGTTATATCTGTAAGAACTGAGTGAGTCAAAGTGTTATCTGTGAGCACTGAGACCAGTATTGTATTAGGCTGCTCTGGTATAATGCACTCATGTCATTAGGAGGTTCTTGCATTAGGCAGTATGGCATTATGAAGTATGGCATTAGGCTGTATGGCATTATGAAGTATGGCATTAGGCTGTATGGCATTATGAAGTATGGCATTAGGCTGTATGGCATTGGGCTGTATGGCATTAGGCTGTAATGGCATTAGGCAGTATGGCATTAGGCTGTATGGCATTATGAAGTATGGCATTAGGCAGTATGGCATTAGGCTGAATGGCATTATGAAGTATGGCATTAGGCTGTATGGCATTATGAAGTATGGCATTAGGCTGTATGACATTATGAAGTATGACATTAGGCTGTATGGCATTATGAAGTATGGCATTAGGCTGTATGACATTATGAAGTATGGCATTAGGCTGTATGGCATTATGAAGTATGGCATTAGGCTGTATGACATTATGAAGTATGGCATTAGGCTGTATGGCATTATGAAGTATGGCATTAGGCAGTATGGCATTATGAAGTATGGCATTAGGTAGTATGGCATTATGAAGTATGGCATTAGGCAGTATGGCATTATGAAGTATGGCATTAGGCTGTATGGCATTATGATGTATGGCATTAGGCTGTATGACATTATAAAGTATGGCATTAGGCTGTATGGCATTATGAAGTATGACATTAGGCTGTATTGTATTAGGCTGTTCTGTCATTAAGCTAGAATTCCATCTTTTACTGTCAAGAGCTTTGTCAATTATGTTTGTTACGCTTATATGAGGAGATCTATGTTTTCAAATTATCTTGTAGTCTTCTTTTATTAACCTTCACATTTGTTCTAGCTAGCCATTCATGAGAATTTTCTGTCTCATGAGTTTTAAGTAGTTATTCATGGGGCCTTTCTGTAACATTGGTTTTAGCTAGTCATTAATTGGCCTTTTTGTCACATTGTTTTTAGCTAGTTTTTCATGGGGCATTTTTGTCACATTTGCTCTAATAATCCATTCATGGGGCCTTTCTGTTACATTTGTTCTAGCAATCCATTCGCGGGGCTTTTCTGTCACATTTGTTTTCCAATCCATGTGGGGCCTTTCTCTCACAATTGCTCTAGCAACTCATCCATAGAGCCTTTCTGTCCCATTTGTTCTAGGAATCGATTCGTAGGTCCTTTCAAGTGCTAACGGACGAAGTGGTCAAGGACTTCATCACCCAGGCGTGTGTCTTGAGTATCAACATCAATCAGCCAGCCGCATTTCTGGCCAGATACGATGCACTGAAGATGAACTTGGAGTGAGTCACGTGGTGTGTTGGGTTTGGTCAATTGAGTTACTGGCCAGATACGATGCACTGAAGATGAACTTTGAGTGAGTCACGTGGTGTGTTGGGTTTGGTCAATTGAGTTACTGGCCAGATACGATGCACTGTCGATGAACTTTGAGTGATTCATGTGATGTGTTGGGTTAGGTCAATTGAGTTACTGGCCAGATCCGATGCACTGAAGATGAACTTTGAGTAAGTCACGTGGTGTGTTGGGTTTGGTCAATAGAGTTACTGGCCAGATACGATGCACTGAAGATGAACTTTGAGTGAGTCACGTGGTGTGTTGTGTTTGGTCAATTGAGTTACTTGCCAGATACGATGCACTGAAGATGAACTTTGAGTGATTCATGTGATGTGTTGGGTTTGGTCAATTGAGTTACTGACCAGATCCGATGCACTGAAGATGAACTTTGAGTGAGTCACGTGGTGTGTTGGGTTTGGTCAATTGAGTTACTGGCCAGATCCGATGCACTGAAGATGAACTTTGAGTGAGTCACGTGGTGTGTTGGGTTTGGTCAATTGAGTTACTCGCCAGATACGATGCACTGAAGATGAACTTTGAGTGAGTCACGTGGTGTGCTGGGTTTGGTCAATTGAGTTACTGGCCAGATACGATGCACTGTCGATGAAGTTTGAGTGATTCTTGTGATGTGTTGGGTTTGGTCAATAGAGTTACTGGCCAGATCCGATGCACTGAAGATGAACTTTGAGTGATTCACGTGGTGTGTTGGGTTTGGTCAATTGAGTTACTGGCCAGATCCGATGCACTGAAGATGAACTTTGAGTGATTCATGTGATGTGTTGGGTTTGGTCAATAGAGTTACTGGCCAGATCCGATGCACTGAAGAAGAACTTTGAGTGAGTCACGTGGTGTGTTGGGTTTGGTCAATTGAGTTACTGGCCAGATACGATGCACTGAAGATGAACTTTGAGTGAGTCACGTGGTGTGTTGGGTTTGGTCAATTGAGTTACTGGCCAGATACGATGCACTGTCGATGAACTTTGAGTGATTAATGTGATGTGTTGGGTTAGGTCAATTGAGTTACTGGCCAGATCCGATGCTCTGAAGATGAACTTTGAGTAAGTCACGTGGTGTGTTGGGTTTGGTCAAAAGAGTTACTGGCCAGATACGATGCACTGAAGATGAACTTTGAGTGAGTCACGTGGTGTGTTGTGTTTGGTCAATTGAGTTACTGGCCAGATACGATGCACTGAAGATGAACTTTGAGTGAGTCACGTGGTGTGTTGGGTTTGGTCAATTGAGTTACTTGCCAGATCCGATGCACTGAAGATGAACTTTGAGTGAGTCACGTGGTGTGTTGGGTTTGGTCAATTGAGTTACTCGCCAGATACGATGCACTGAAGATGAACTTTGAGTGAGTCACGTGGTGTGCTGGGTTTGGTCAATTGAGTTACTGGCCAGATACGATGCACTGTCAATGAACTTTGAGTGATTCATGTGATGTGTTGGGTTTGGTCAATAGAGTTACTGGCCAGATCCGATGCACTGAAGATGAACTTTGAGTGATTCATGTGATGTGTTGGGTTTGGTCAATTGAGTTACTGGCCAGATCCGATGCACTGAAGATGAACTTTGAGTGAGTCACGTGGAGTGTTGGGTTTTCTCAATAGCGTTCCTTGAATAAACACGCACTGTGCGATGGGCTGAGCTATTTCTTATTTTTATTTTTGTACCTTTTTTTCTGTTGTTTTGTTCGCTGACGAAGGCTTTCTTCCGATACGTTCGCTGTTTTTTTTAATATAATGCAACACAACACAATATAATTGATAGAATGTAACACAACACAATTGATGAAATGTAACACAATACAATTGATAGAGTTAACACAACACAATTGATGGAATGTAACACAACACTGTACAATTGATATAATTAACACAACACAAATATTGATAAATGTGACATAACACAAGAAAATAGATAGAATGTAACAAACAATACAATTGATAGAATATTATACATGGTCATAAATAGATTCTGAAAGAATGTAAATAAACACAATGCAATTGATAGAATATATTCCAACACAATAGAATAGATTGAATATAACACAGCACAACACAATAGATATAATTTAAAATAACGTATAGAATATAACACATTATAATACAAATGATAGAATGTAACACAACATAATTCAATTATTAATGAAAGAATGTAACAGAGTTATTTCTTTTGGACAGGATGCAAGTCAAACGGTATGATGAACTGACGTCACTACAGGAAGAGATGCAGACGGAACTAGCAAACGTTGAAAGTCAAGGTCAGAACGAACTTGCAAATCTTAGGCAGAAGTCAGATGAACTAAAATTGGTATGAAACATTTCTCTTACAGAATACGCCTAGATTGCAATAAAGATGGTACGTACAATAACATTTCTCTTACAGAATATTGCAAAACTGCAATAAAGTTGGTACGTACCGTAAGATTTCTCTTACAGAATATGCCTAGATTGCAATAAAGATGGTACATACCGTAACATTTCTTTTACAGAACACTCTTCGATTGCAGTATTTTAGTAAAAATGTCATGTGTTTATATTTGTCATGGTTAAAATGCATTACCGTTTCTGTAATGAAACACACCTGCCATCCAGTGCCACTTTTGTAATTAAACACACGCCCAGCCAATGTAACCGATGTAATTGAATACATCACTTTAAGTAAACACACCTTCCACCCTTTGCCATGTCTGTAAGTAAACCAACATTCCACTGTCCACATCCCAAGATCAACATTACTTTACGCCATAATCCATCCATCTATAACCCTAACAATCCAACGATTGTCAGCTACGCCAAACTGAACTTATCCTGTGTTATCTCAAGCACCTCCGCCTCATGCTCTATTCATCTATCCATCCCCACATCACCCCCCCCCGCCCCCGGCCCCACCAACTTACAAGTAATGAAGACCATACATAACGTCATAGTGTGTCCGTGGCGTCATAGTGTGTCCGTGGCGTCATATTGTGTCCGTGGCCGGGTTCAATATTTTGGCGGGTACGCGACAAAGGTTGGAGATCTGGATGATTGAAAGCAGATGAGATTAAGTGGTTGAGAGATAGTGGTTGAGAGAAAGTGGTTTAGATAAAGTGGTTGAGAGATAGTTGTTGAGAGAAAGTGGTTGAGAGAAAGTGGTTGAGAGAAAGTGGTTGAGAGAAAGTGGTTGAGAGAAAGTGGTTGAGATAAAGTGGTTGGGAGAAAGTGGTTGAGAGAAAATGGTTGAGAGAAAATGGTTGAGAGAAAGTGGTTGAGAGAAAGTGGTTGAGAGAAAGTGGTTGAGAGAAAGTGGTTGAGAGAAAGTGGTTGAGAGAAAGTGGTTGAGAGAAAGTGGTTGAGAGAAAGTGGTTGAGAGAAAGTGGTTGAGAGAAAGTGGTTGAGAGAAAGTGGTTGAGAGAAAGTGGTTGAGAGAAAGTGGTTGAGAGAAAGTGGTTGAGAGAAAGTTGTTGAGATAAAGTGGTTGGGAGAAAGTGGTTGAGAGAAAATGGTTGAGAGAAAATGGTTGAGAGAAAGTGGTTGAGTGAAAGTGGTTGAGAGAAAGTGGTTGAGAGAAAGTTTTTGAGAGAAAATGGTTGAGAGAAAATGGTTGAGATAAAGTGGTTGAGAGAAAGTGGTTGAGAGATTGTGGATGAAACAACTTGGATGAGAGAAACCTCATAACAGAAAGTGGATTCTGAATGTCTTTAAACACAACTGAATTTCAGGGACACCTCATAGTAACAGATGAATGGTTTCAAAGAATGATTTCTATGACTACCGCTCCACGCGTTACGACATTATCAGACTGAAGAATGTATTCAATAAATAATTTACGGTGGACTTACTAGAGGTGGTAAAATTAAATGCCTTAAAATTCGTCTTATTGTGTCCTGACAAGCAACGGACATCCATCTGCACTCATGGGAAATACTTCAGTGGGATCGCACAAGCTGTCGCGGAGCAAAGAAATTTCTTTTTTCTGCCAATATTACCAGGAGCCACAAAATGTGTTTTCAACATATGGCTCCGGATTGCGAGGCTGAAAAAGACTGACACGCCCAATGCCAGATCACCGTAAATATTGGCTTGGTAACCTTCCGATGCAAAGGACAGTAAAGATAACATAGCTAACCGGGTCCACAGTAAAGATAACATAGCTAACCGGGTCCACAGTAAAGATAACATAGCTAACCGGGTCCACAGTAAAGATAACATAGCTAACCGGGTCCACAGTAAAGATAACATAGCTAACCGGGTCCACAGTAAAGATAACATAGCTAACCGGGTCCACAGTAAAGATAACATAGCTAACCGGGTCCACAGTAAAGATAACATAGCTAACCGGGTCCACAGTAAAGATAACATAGCTAACCGGGTCCACAGTAAAGATAACATAGCTAACCGGGTCCACAGTAAAGATAACATAGCTAACCGGGTCCACAGTAAAGATAACATAGCTAACCGGGTCCACAGTAAAGATAACATAGCTAACCGGGTCCACAGTAAAGATAACATAGCTAACCGGGTCCACAGTAAAGATAACATAGCTAACCGGGTCCACAGTAAAGATAACATAGCTAACCGGGTCCACAGTAAAGATAACATAGCTAACCGGGTCCACAGTAAAGATAACATAGCTAACCGGGTCCACAGTAAAGATAACATAGCTAACCGGGTCCACAGTAAAGATAACATAGCTAACCGGGTCCACAGTAAAGATAACATAGCTAACCGGGTCCACAGTAAAGATAACATAGCTAACCGGGTCCACAGTAAAGATAACATAGCTAACCGGGTCCACAGTAAAGATAACATAGCTAACCGGGTCCACAGTAAAGATAACATAGCTAACCGGGTCCACAGTAAAGATAACATAGCTAACCGGGTCCACAGTAAAGATAACATAGCTAACCGGGTCCACAGTAAAGATAACATAGCTAACCGGGTCCACAGTAAAGATAACATAGCTAACCGGGTCCACAGTAAAGATAACATAGCTAACCGGGTCCACAGTAAAGATAACATATCTAACCGGGTCCACAGTAAAGATAACATAGCTAACCGGGTCAATAGTAATGATAACATAGCTAACCGGGTCCATAGTAAAGATAACATAGCTAACCGGGTCCATAGTAAAGATAACATAGCGAACCGGGTCCACAGTAAAGATAACATAGGTAACCGGGTCCATAGTAAAGATAACATAGCTAACCGGGTCCATAGTAAAGATAACATAGCTAACCGGGTCCATAGTAAAGATAACATAGCTAACCGGGTCCAGAGTAAAGATAACATAGCTAACCGGGTCCATAGTAAAGATAACATAGCTAACCGGGTCCAGAGTAAAGATAACATAGCTAACCGGGTCCATAGTAAAGATAACATAGCTAACCGGGTCCATAGTAAAGATAACATAGCTAACCGGGTCCATAGTAAAGATAACATAGCTAACCGGGTCCACAGTAAAGATAACATAGCTAACCGGGTCCACTATTTTGCTTTTCGATTCAAATATTAAAATGTCTTCGCCCGCAGCGCCTGTTCCATCTTAGGAATAACGTCACCAAAGAGCAGCACCACCAAGAACTCCAAGATGAACTCGATGCTCAAGAAGAAACAAGGTACAGAACAAGCAGGGACGCCATTCGAAACATGGTGTACACACTCATGGTAAGTGTGATTGATAGCGTGTTCTCTCATAGCAACAGAGATTGGTAGTGTGTTCTCTCATGACTCTCATGGCAACGGAGATTGATAGTGTGTTCTCTCATGGCAACGGATATTGGTAGTGTGTTCTCTCATAACTACGGAGATTAATAGCGTGTTCTCTCATGGCAACGTAGATTGGTAGTGTTTTCTCTCATAGCTACGGAGATTAATAGCGTGTTCTCTCATGGCAACGGAGATTGATATCGTGTTCTATCATGGCTCTTATAGCAACGGAGATTGATAGTGTGTTCTCTCATGACTATCATGGCAACGGAGATTAATAGCGTGTTCTCTCATGGCAACGGGGATTGATATCGTGTTCTATCATGGCTCTTATAGCAACGGAGATTGATAGTGTGTTCTCTCATGACTCTCATGGCAACGGAGATTAATAGCGTCTTCTCTCATGGCAACGGAGATTGATATCGTGTTCTATCATGGCTCTTATAGCAACGGAGATTGATAGTGTGTTCTCTCATGACTATCATGGCAACGGAGATTAATAGCGTGTTCTCTCATGGCAACGGAGATTGATAGCGTGTTCTCTCATGGCAACGGAGATTGGTAGTGTGTTCTCTAATGGCAGTGGAGATTGATAGCGTGTTCTCTCGTGGCAAGGGCCATTCGTAGTCTTTTCTCTTCTCTCAAGCCAAGGAAGATTGCTAGTCTTCTCTTCTCTCATGGCAATGGAGATTTACGATTGTTCTATTCTCTCATGGTAAGGGAGATTACAAAAGTTTTCTGGTTTCTTAGGTATACGAGATTTTTTTTATTTGAGGGTGTTCATGATGATTAGATTTTTTAAAGGGCTGGAGGATTTTGCAATGGCAAAAATTGTCTTGAAACGTAATAAATAGAGACTAACATGTGAATCTAGGTCTTGTCATAGGTAGGGACTAACAGATGATCGTAGGCCCTGTTATAAACAGACATACAGTGATCCTTGGCCCGTTCATAGACCTCACATGAGTAATCGGATCTGTTCGTTTGACCATATGTGTAATCGATTACCTACTTTTATTCTAAACAGGGGCGCCTACACAAAGGGAGGGGTGGAGACGAAACTGCGGATTCAAATGTAGTGGTGTGGGGGGGGGGAGTCAAATACCGCCTGAATGAATCACGTGATAATTTGATTTTCTGCAAAATGTGAAGAATTGTTCAGTTTTTATGGAAGTTGTAATGGTTCGTCGTCGATCTTTTTGTTGAACAGTAAAAAATGTTCGAAAATTCTTTAACTTTTCTTTTTTCCATCACTAATTTTCCTATTAGTTGAGCTCTTCAATGAAATATCAAACTAATGGTATTTCTTTCAGCAAATCTCTCTGAAAAAAGGGGGGGGGGGTTGTGTGTTGTCCAATCGAGCCTAAAGGAGAGCAACACATAATCCAAGGGTAGACAGACTCTGTCCTAAGGAGAGCAACACATAATCCAAGGGTAGACAGACTCTGTCCTAAGGAGAGCAACACATAATCCAAAGGTAGTGAGCCTCTGTCCTAAGGAGAGCAACACAAAATCCAAGAGTAGGGAGCCTCTGTCCTAAGGAGAGCAACCCATAATCTAAGGGTAGTGAGCCTCTCTCCTAAGGAGAGCAACACATAATCCAAGGGTAGTGAGCCTCAGTCCTAAGGAGAGCAACACATAATCCAAGGGTAGGGAGCCCTTGTCCTAAGGAGAGCAACACATAATCCAAGGGTAGGGAGCCCCTGTCCTAAGGAGAGCAACACATAATCCAATGGTAGGCAGCCTCTGAAGAGCAACAACAAGGAGACACGGAGTTACAGTTAGCCCTGATTCATATAAGTTACTGTTGGCCCTGGTCGTCATGAATTGCAGTTGACCTTTGTGTCAAGTTTGGCTTCCACAACTATTCGAGGAAAAGACGCCCCTGACTCTAAATACTTCCACGTACTATTTTTTCTTTTGCTATATTATTGGATTTAGCCCTTATATTTTTTTTTTACATTTGTACACCTTTAACACCTGCGGGCGATCTTCCACGTGTACCTTGGTCGATTCTGCATGTAGTGGTTGGATTGTGTACTGTGTAACTATTAGGCAATTTTCAAAAATTCTTTCAAATTTTACCAAGTATCTAAATAAAGCCTCTCATCTTCTTCCCCAGCAATTCCGCTCTTACGCCCATGATCGGATGGGTAAGGCCAACACGCTCTATCGTCAGCTCGAAGAACTAGGTCAAGTGATAATCTTCTACCAAGACATCTACAGGGCTTATCAGGAGACTCTCCAGGCGAGTCAGCAGAGACCAAAGAAGCACGGTGTGGTCTCCGCAACAAGCAAGCTGGACGCCAGCCGGTCGTCTAACGACAGTGAAAACAGCGATACCCAAAATGGGTCGAGCCTGCCGGGGACCGCACGACCCAGCAGGGTTGAATAGCATTTGAGAACCCGTGAAGGCCTCCTCAGTGGCAGCACACTTTAAAAAAAAAAATGGGAAAGCTTTCTGGTGTTCAGCATGTCGTAGCGCAGTGGTTCTCAATATGTGGGTCGCAACCCTTTTGATGGTCGAACGACCCTTACGAAAGGGTCGCTTAAGATTATCGGATAACGCATATTTATGAAGTAGCTTCGAAAAATTGTTTGTAGCTTCAGGTAACCACCACATGCGGAACTGTATTAAAGGGTCACGGCATAAATAACTTTGAGAACCACTGTCTTAGCGTACCAACGCATCTTTAATTTTTTTTTTCCTCAAGGTGAAAAACGATAGGAATGTCAAGGTCAGTAGTATTGAGGTGGAGAGCTGCTTAATACTATCGCAATAAAAATGGTGCATAGCGACTACCACAAACCAATGGTGCAATATCCAATAATAAAACTCAATGTAACACATTTACAAGACATTCAAATTTTAATTAGCGAAATTGAATGATATTTTTTAATTGATTCGACGAATGAAACTTTTAAGTAAAATATGTTTATTAATTTTTTTTTATAATAATAATTTAACAATTAAATTTGTAGGTATACCACGTTTTTTGAGATATATCAAGTTCATAATCAAAATTATTACTTTAATCTTGTCAGAGGCAAAAATGTTCGCATATAAAAAAAATAGTTCGGCTCTATACAAATGTTTACATATGAAGGCAAATTGTTCAGTACAAATCTTCACATATCAAGGTTAGATAGTTTGGTATAAATGTTTACATATCAAGGCAGATAGTTCGGTACAAATGTTCACACATCAAGGCAGATAGTTCAGTACAAATCTTCACATATCAAGGTGGTTTGTTACAAAATGCATCAATCAAACTAGTAGAATTGATGGCGTGCCAAGACAGCATCATAGTGTAATGTCAAATGAATGGCTTCTTTTAAAATATGATTATTCATGGGTACCAGTACATAATATACCATAATGGCTCCTCGTAAAATATGGATATTCATGGCAACTATTACAATATGGACAATAATAGCTCCTTGTAAAATATGGATATTCATGGCTTCTGGTGCAATATGGACTTTCCAAAGGAATAGAAGGGGCTTATGTAAAAAAAATACAGCTTAAGAAATGTAAATATTTATAAATGCAAATATGCAAAAAAAAATTATAAAAATAATGAAAATTAAATGTAAAAAATAATATTCGTATCCTAACATCGAACAACAAAAATATTTCGGCATCAAATTTTAAGCTAAATATAGAACATAATTTGTTCAATTAATTATAGCAATAAGCATTATGTTTGTTGGAATATTCAACTTTATAACATTATAACACTAAACAATTATTAAACAACATTTGTGAAAGATACATAATACAAATACATTTGACAAAAAAATAAAAAAATTGAAAAAATGCAATATTAAAAAAAAAAACCACCAAACAACAAAGAAAGAAACAAAGGATTTAATAACATTATAACACTAAACAATTATTAAACAACATATGTGAAAGATACATAAAACAAATACATTTGACAAAAAAATAAAAAAATTGAAAAAATGCAATATTAAAAAAAAAAAACCACCAAACAACAAAGAAAGAAACAAAGGATTTGTGTAAATTACTTAATTTTAATTAACAGCTGAATTAGACCGACACATTTATGAATGACGTCAATAACTGCGATTTGATTGAACACATGTTTGAGAAAACATTAGGCAGAATATAATGTGACTGCCCTTCATGGATTATCATCATAACCAAATGTAGATGTTTACTTGTTAATATTTTATGAGATTGTAACCAGAAGTTGTTATCATCTGGTGGTGATTGTGTTGATGGGAATTTACAACGATGTCCTTCTACTTAACACAAAATAAAACAATTCATCATAACACATGATAATGATATAAAGAGAATATTTGTTGAATATAAAATTAGTTTGGTTTTAGAGTTCAACATCTCCATTTAAAATCTTTAAAATATGAATTAGTTCAACATTTCCCTTTGAAAACTTTGAAATATGAATTAGTTCAACATTTCCCTTTTAAATTTTTTGAAATATGAATGAGTTCATCATTTCGCTTTTAATTTTTTGAAATACGAATTAGTTCATTACCTTTCGACATTTTAAAAATATGAATTATTTTAAAATTTCTATTTAAAATCTTTGAAATATGTATTTGTTCAACATTTTCTTGTGAAATCTTTTACTTTATGTATTTGCTCAACATTTCCCTGTTAAATGTTTAACATATTAATTTGCATACATGCCTGTTCTTTCTGTCCCCAAGACTCGCACAAAAACATATGGTAGACGATCGTTCTCTTTCTGTGCCCAACAAACAATGGAATTCTCTCTCATTACACATCTACAATATACCGACCATCACAGCCCTTAGAACTGCACTCAAAACACATCTTTTTAAACTCTGCTATCCTGACTGATTCCCACCCCTGACAGAAAACACAATTCTACTGGGTGTCGTCAATGGCTTCACATATAAATAGTTTTAAATAAACATGTGTTTTGTTTTATTTAATTAATGTATGTTAATTATTTTATTTTTTTATTTTTTATTAAGTTTATTAACTTGTATGTACAGGGTGGTGAGCCCAACCCTAGGCTGGGGTAACTCGCTATTAAAAACCGCTAATAATAATAATAATAATAATAATTATATGTTAAGATTGATGGTGCCCTAATGTGTAATCTGTAAACCTACCATTAAAAAAAAGAAAGCAAACAAACATTTACTACACAAAATATTCCCCAAATAACAAGTAATCTTTTCTCATTATCACAGCTTTGATTTGAGGAAATTGACCTGGCCAACTTTGTTCCTTTCTGAACGAACTTTCATAGTGTGGAGGATTACTTGTATAATTCTATACCATACTGATATTATGTGCATTCCATCTAAAAAGCTCTTAAAATACTATATTGATAACATTTGATTACCCTTGAATAGTTTTGTCTACGTGTGTCTAATTTTGTCTAAATTTGCCTACGTTTGTCTAACTTTGTCTAATTGTGTCTACGTTTGTCGACTTTTAATGTTGTTTATCTACGTTTTAATACATATGATTAAATTTAATTATGTTTATAAATGTTTGGCTGCATTTTATTACGTTTAACTATGTTTATGAATTTTTGACTACGCCTGATTACGTTAAACTATGTTTATGCATGTTCGACTACGTTTTAATGCGTTTAACTATGTTTTTGATTGTTTTTACACGTATTAGTACGTTTAAATACATTTAGTCACGTTTCTATACGTTTCTCTACCGATGTCTACGTTTACCACTGTTTGAAACAGTGTTGGTACGGTTGAAAACGCTTGACTACTTTTGAATAAGTTTGTTACATTTGTATACGTTTTTCTGCGTCTGTGAAAGTTTGCCAATACTTTTTGACGTTTGAATACAGGTGTCTACGTTTGGCTATGTTTTGTATACCTCTGCTTACGTTTCACTAAAAGATAATAATTGAAGGACGGCATTCAAGCTATGTAAATGAAGTCGTATCACAAGGTATGTCACAAGGTATGTCACAAGGTATGTCACAAGGTATGTCACAAGGTATGTCACAAGGTATGTTGAAGCTTGAAACAATCGACAGGACAAAAATTTGCGAACGTGTCGGCTTAGGGCCTTCGTCGGCGAACAGGACAAATAAAAATAAATCAGGAACCAGAGTACAGTTTTAAAAAAAAAAATGAGAAAACCTCCGCCAACCACATGGAAGATCTGTAGAAAGTAGTCCCTAATCATCCCTTAAATACACGGTTTACAAAGAGAAGGCTCGTAGACCACGTGGAAGAAACTTCAGAAGCATGTCAAAAGCAAACGCTAACCGAAGAAGTGCGGACACCAAATCATTTTTTTTTAACAAAAAATAATAATTTGCATAAAAAAAATCAAAAAAAAAAAAAATCACTTCTTTTAAGATCAATAAAAACAAATTGATAAATAATTCTGTTAAAACTTAACTATGACAGTTTTAAATCCAAGACAGAAGTACTTATTTGACAAACCAACTTTGATACACGTGTTCAACTTGGGATTTTGTTGTTTTTTTGCGCCTGTTAAAAGGCTGATCACGAAGAACAGAATTTTTTAACGGAATTTGAAGGCGTATCTCTGAAGCTAACTTGAATTATGCCGTAAATGGGGCATTCCAAAAATAATAACATTTTTGTTATAACACTAGCAAGAACCCGTCATCCGTTGCTATTACACTTAAAGAAAAATGTGTGTTTTTTTATTAGATTTTTAAATAATTTTTAAATAAAAAATATTTGTTTGATTTTTCCGTCTGGTGCATAAACAATTAAATTAGAAGGTTTTCGAAGAAAGGGCAGGCCACATAAAGCTTTCCAAAGGAGAAACATGAATTTTCACAATTTAGTCCACACACTTGTAGCAATTGATCTACCAGTGCAGTAGCTCTGTTTAAAATTATATTTATAATGCTCACAAAAAAAGAATACCCCCCCCCCCCTTTTTTTTTCCATAAAGGAATAGTTCAAATTGGATGAACTAATTCAGAAACATTTGCGGGCGTGCATAACTAAGACCATCGGTGAACGCTCCTTCTGCTTCCATGGGCCCACGTTCTGGAACCAGCTCCCCTTCCATATACGTCATAGTGAAACCTCGTCCATTTTCAAAAAGTCCCTTAAAACTCATCTGTTTAGGTCCGCCTATGACCTGTGATGCACCCTCCTTGACCTACCTAATTTTCTGTTTCGGTTTAATCCTGAAGTGTCAAAGTGTCCTCTTTTTATAGCCATTTTCATTGTTTCTATAGAATAGTAGTTACTCTCCTAGTGTCTCATTTGTATTTACTTAGTTTACATGTTTTAATGACTGTAAAGCGCTTAGAGCTTTATGATAAGCGCTATATAAAAATGCCTAAATAAATAAATAAATAAATAACATCTTACCAAAGATTTTGCGCAATCAGATAAATGGTGTAACGTATCGTATATGTGTGGTTTATGATGTTACTTGTAGCATTGTAATTATCTCTTACACCATACATTCATATTTTCATATTTTCATCCCAACAAGTACCAGAGGACTCCTTGAATTAGCACCACGACATTTATTAACTGATCAATGTACACATAATAAAACAATATCTCTTTAGATCAGAGCAAATATAATTCTTCATATAACTCCCTCTGTTTCACAAATCAACATTAAGATGCTAATTAATAACTAAATGAACGTAGCCAGCGCTAACAAAGAAATGTCTCCAACGGTCTTTGTCCGTTTTCTTCCATCCCATGATTCCTTAACTTCCTGTTTTTACTCCTTAACAAAACAAAACATACGAAACAAAACGTATATCTAAATTAGTTGCTCTGTGACAAATGGTATATGAAATTATATTTAGCTCAT